TTTTCATTAAAAAAGAATAAGTTTAAAGAGTCTAGTAATTAGATAGATAACTTTAAAAAATGATACAACCTTAAATGTATTATATACACAGAAAAGTTGTAAATGCATTGCTCAAAGATCTCAAAATCATCTTTGATAAATATTAAAAGATTATAGTTCTGAAGACATATTTAATTATAACAAAATAAAACTATTTTGGAAGATGAAACTATATTAAATAATATTCAATGAACAAACATTAGAAATAAAATAATTAAAGGATTATATAATAATCTTACTCATATGCAACACAATGGGAAGTGAAAAGCAGATGCTTTGTTTATATAAAAGTATGAAAATCCTAAAGTTATTAAAAATATTAATAAAAGAATACTTCTGGTTAAATACTATTAAAATCATAAAAGTTAAATGCAGATTTCAATCTAGAATAAGTACATAAAAAAACTTGATACAAAAATGAGAAAATAAAATCAGAATATTCTCCTTCTTGTGAATAATATTCTAACACATGCTCTTTATATTACTATTTAATCTCTCCCTTTAAATACTATTACACATCTCAAATCTTATGATCAAGGTATCATATAATTTAAGGTAAGAAATATAATTGATTTAATAATTCTTTAGTTAAAATATAATTGATATTATTATATTTTATACTTTATTTATATTTAATTCTAATTTAACTTATTTTATGTATAATATTAAAAACTATATTTACAAATTGGGTCAAAGATTTTGATAAATTTAATGAATATAGTATTGAATCCTTTAAAATTGATATTAAAAATGTATAAAATATATTTCATAAGCATGAGATAATGTTATAAATAAAATAATTGAAAATTATTAGGTAAAAACAAATTTTTTACCTAATAATAATTATGAAAATGAAGATAAAATTAGTATCAGTATATTACTTGAAATTAAATGGTTAAAGTAAATAGAAAAAGTTCAAGTATTAATTGATAAACTAGATAATATCTAACAATGAAATTTTAAAAACAGTTTTATCTAATTAAGATAATGAAAGAGAGTAAGATTCTTTATTATAATAATTACTTCTGGGAGAGTTATTGAGACTTATGATAAAATAATTTTATATTTGAAGTAACAAGAAAAAACTTTTGATATGAAAAAAGAAAAGTTAAATTTTATTAAAAAGCTTAAAAAAAAAGCTTTAAATAACAGTTTATTTCTTTAAAATAAACTAATCTTGATAACTTTATTACTATCTCTTCAAGCATTTTTCAAACAATTTTGCTTGCAATTTTATTTAATAATTAAAATTATTTATAATATTTTTAAATATTTTTAAAATAATTTATTTAAAATTAATATTTTTATAATAAATTTTATAATATTTTCTAAGTAAAAATTCAAAAAAAAATATAATTAATTAGTGATATTTTAAAGATAAATATATGATAAATTATTATGAAAAAAATTAAAATTTTAAACTTATATATCTTGCTATCTATTGATCTCAAAAATATGAAAATATAATCATTTAATAGACCTTAATTAGATAAATCCAACAAATTAAATTTTATTTTCTTGTAATTATTAGATAATAAGTTATTTTAAAATTGAAAAATTAAAAAATTAATATATATTAATAATTATTAATTTTAAAAATTTAAAAATACTATTATTAGATAAATCTTAATGACAAATTTAATAAACTTCATTTCATCTATTTATAATCACTAGATATTAAAATATTATAATTTTTCTACAATGTTTTATAGTCAATTTATATTTATACTTTAAGAGATAATTGTATTTTTATATAAATAGGATAGAAATTTATCCTTGCAAAATGGCAGAGATAATAGTGATAATTCAATAGTTCAAGTTAATAACTTAAAATCTAAGGTCAAGGATTACTAAGGATACAAATCTCTACAATAAAGAAATCTCTTTCTAAACTACATATATTAAAATCTTTCAACGTGTTAATTGTATTTATCATGTTTACAAATTGTTAAAGTTATTTACTCATTTAAAATATAAATTTAAAGTTGATTATAATAGGACTTATTCTACAGTAACTTAGTAGTTTCTCGCATGTTAATCTCTATTATTAAGTCATCATTACCTAAGTTCGATGGACTGAGTATAGGGTTAATAGTGTCAGAGACCTTTGGTAAAATCTATATATCTAAATATGAAAAAAACTGTTAGCTTATAGTAATTTACTTCCTAATTTTTATCTCTAAACAGCTCGATTTAAATCAATGAGAAGAAGCAAAAATCAGAAAAATAAGTAAAATCTCTCAATAATGCTAACAATGTGATTTTTTCAACCTATCAATATGCATTCTTTTTTATTTTAATCATTAAAATTATATTTTCATTATTCCTAAGCAGGAACAGGATTATTATATTGATTTCAATAATATCAATTATTGCAAAGATATTCGAACATTTCATTTTTGATGAATTAGAAACATTATTACTCCTTTAAATAATAACTTAGGTTATGCAACTTTAATTTTTTGATTCATGTCATCCGCTGGGTCACTTTTTCAAATTTTAACAAAAAAGTTTTATATAAAAAGTTTATCATGTGATTAAAGTGTAATTTTATTGATGGATTAAAGTTTTATTATATTATCATTATGTATAATTCCTTTCTTACAACTTATTAGTTTCATACAGCTTCTCAAGCAATACATTATGCTGAAAATTTTTCTTCAACAAATGTTTTTGATGGGTTAAATTTCACTTCAAAAAAATCTTTTATTTTTGTTTCTAATCCTTCAAAACTTTAGAATTGTAACTTATTTTTATATGTATAATAGGCATTTTAACGGAATTAAGATGATTTTGAAATGAAATGTGATTGTTGTATAATTAGGTCAGTCAAAGAAAATTTTTAGATAAAATTTTAAAATTGACATGGTCACACTTTTTTTTTCTTTTTTCATATGTAAATATTTTTATATGTATTTTTATTTCACCGCCACTTTCTTTAAATAAAATCGGATATGCTGATTTTATTAACATACTATAATAAAGAAGGATCGGTATTATGGTAAAAAAAATTTAGTGCGATTTTTTATTAGTGTAAACCGGATTTCTGGACCTTTGAGCAACAAAAAAATTTCCTTTTCCTCAAAAAATTCTCCTTTTTAGGCAATTCGTGTAATGCTAACGACTGGCCATTATTATATATTTAATACTAACACTAACACTGACACTGACAAAATGTAGGGGATAAGGTAGAGGTAAAGGTAGAGGAGGAATCTACCTCAAGGAATAAAGATCATTTAAATATTTTTTTAAAAAAAGATTTGATCTGTCGTGCTGGCGCAGTTAGGTGCATGATAAAATTGTTTTGTTTTTTTTTTTCTAATATTATGTATTGTTAATTAATAATTAATTAATCAGTTCATAATTATTGATTAATAATTTAATTTATTTTTTTGGTTTATATTTTATAGGTTAGATCGGTAGATTCGCCACTTTTGTTTGTCGCAGTGACACAATAAGGTGTGTAACTTTTTTATTATTTACTTACTTTTTTGATTGATTATTAATCAAAATCTAATGGTTTTTTTTGATTTTAGTTAGGACTGATTCTGCCCTTTCAGATTTGACATCCTTCAGCTCATCGTGGTGATACAGTCAGATGCATGACAAAATTTTTTTTATTATTGGTGTTATATATATATAAAAACTATCAAAAATAAAAAAATTAATAAATTAAATAGAAATTAATAAAAAAAATTAGATCAGTCAGTTCGTAACGGCAGCGCAATCAGGTACAAAATTTTCTTTTTATTATTGTTTCTATTGTTTATTATTTCACTCGTTCCAATTTAAAATTGGACACTTTGGAAATTGGAACATGAGACCATCGACCTAATATAAAATTTGGAAAAATTGAAAATTGAGACACATTGACTATTGTCGAGATATGCGATGTCCAAGTTGGCTATTATCCCAATTTAAAATTAAACAATCAACAACTTGTGAATCAAAAATTATTGTCAAAGATCAAAGCCATCAAAATTTATACACGTAATTTATTATAGCTCAGTTTAGAGATGCCTAATTTAAAGTTTGGGCAGATAACAACTTGAGGCACAGCATTACCATCATATGTCGAAATAATACAATAAAATATCTTTAATAAATTTAAATTAATTAAAATTTTACGAGTTTAGAAATATCCAAATAAACAATTATTATTATTCTTTTTCGTTAAATAAAAAGGAAAAAAATTCATATTTACATTATTATTATGATTTACTATACACTACAGCTAGAGATTTAATTCCCCCTTTTTAGATCTAATAAATTGAAGCATATTAAAATTTTTCTACTTATTTTTCTTTATTTTTCTTATTTTTTTTTTTTTTAAAAAAATTGTTCGTATTTTTTGAACTATACCGCAATAAAGAACCGGTTGCATATTTCAACAAGTCGTCAAATCTAGATGACAATGAAGTCAAAAATTGAGTTTATAAATGAATTAGAAACAATTCAATAACGATAATGGAAATTATTTTGTGTATCTTAATAATGCTACCTCGAAAAACTTTGCGTAAACCAAATTTTTATTCTTGCAATTTTTGTTTGTTGAATTTCGCTCTTATTGATAAACAAATTGTAAAAATATTATATCTTAAGTACATGTAAAAATAATAAATGTTATTATTGAACATAAAAAATATTGTATGAACGAAATGACCGTTATGGTTAGTAGCAATTTAAGCTCATAAATCCTTTGTATATATGAACTTCCGATGTAATTATAACATGATAATATTTGTGAAGACAAAAAAAATAACTTCATTTTTCATTAAAAAGTTGGATTAATATTTAAAATTAAGTTGTCATGTGATTGTGATATATGTTTAAATAAATACTGTTTACGCATGTAATACAGAATATTTTCGTTGATGCAGTAACTTTCCGCGTGTTTTACGTATACGTCAGCTCTACCCAATCTATTGCTATAATACTGTAGATATTTTCCGTCCTCAGGTCTAAAGCGACGCTTCAACAGACTTTCTTTGGTGTTGAACTTTCTTTTCGAGAAATCTCCATTCTAGGACTGAAGTTGCAAGAGGTTGTGATCCTGGTTGAGATTGAGCACGTAGCAAAACTACCTTGGATCCTTTTGCAAGTCGTCGGTATAAGTAAAGAGCTCATATTTTCGCATGAACGTATTCTTTTTGTTTATAAACTTTTTCGTCGCCATTCACTTTTTTACGGTGTCATTTAGGTAGATTTAGGTAGGTGATTAGGAATATTCTTTTGGTTTATAATCTTTATTATGAATATTTTATTTTTTAAAAATCAACTTTTCAACATAGTTTTCTGCTCATGATGTTCATGCTTTGAATGAATTTTCTTTCAGTAATATCTTATATGGTTTTAATCTATTATAATAAAAATATTTTCTTTGTTTACAGAAAATTTTTATTCATATTATCATAACACATAACTTTAAACGACTTATCGCAGTATCGAAACTTGACTTATTGGAAAGAATTATTGAGCAAATATGATAAATTTAATTTTTTACTTTGACAATTCTAACATCGTATTAGGTTTAATATGCAAGTTTTAACTTACATATTTAATTGGCGCAGTATTATCGCAAACTTAATATTAACGTTAATTAATATAAATTTAAAAAAAATAATTAATTGAAAAGTCAGTTTTTCTACTAATTAACATAGTTCAACTGGATAAAAAAATATAAATAATAATAAATAAAAAGAATAAAGAAAAAAAAAAAAAAAGTAATTAAAAATAAAAAAAAAAAAAAAAGAACGAGGAAGGGGAACGAATATATATATAAAAAGATCGGAGGGGGAATAAAAAAAAAATTTAAAAATTAAAAAGATCGGAGGTGGATAAAAAAAAAAATAAAAAAAAAAATAAAAAGATCGGGGGGGATAAAAAAATATTATAATAATAAAAAAATATTCTATTAATCGAATCTTTTGAAACGATAATCGCGATTAAATCGATTCTCAAATCGATTCTATTTACCATACCTAGCGGCGACGAAGTCGCCGCACACCAACCTAATCTAGTTAGGGGTATTCAAAATTGGTTAATGCAGATTTTGATGCAAATTTCAAGAAACATGATTGGCTGAAATTTATATCGTTAATGGCATCCGCAAAATAACAGGTGTAGTTGATGCAAAATTTTTAACGGTCCACAAAATGTTTACTTAACCAAATTTGAAAACCCTAATTTTTTAAATCAAAATATGCATCGATTTTATTCAATTTCGGGCACTAAAAAAATAATAATTGGTTAACACAAAGTGCATCAAATTTTGCATCAACCAACTTTGAATACCCCAAGAAAAAAAAATCATGAATTTTCGTAAACTGACACGGCCGGGTCACAGTATCTGAAAATTTACTTTGTCCCTTAAAGATTGACCAATCAGATAGCATAATATTTATATATAAACTTTTTTTATTATAAAAAATAATCATTAATAATCTCCGGGTCTCCGGGTCGATTTTTAAATTTCAATGTTACGTGAACCGAAAAATCGAAGTTGCATGGCCTTTGAAAGCCACGTGTCGAAAACCTTAGAATTTTGCAGGCAGCAATTTTAGTGTGATGGTAGTAACATCTCTTAAAAAATTGTCTTTGCTATAATATTTAAAAATACATATTTAATAATTTATAAATCCTTGTCAACAATTGGAATATAAAAATGATGGGTCTCGCCTGAAAGAAAAAAGTCAGGTTAAAAAATATTTTTTTATATAACGTTTAGTTTAGATTCCTTCAATTTATGCAAATTTATTGGAATCTTAATAATCAATACAGAAGCAGTACTTTAATTACATTATATTAGCTTAGTTTTTGCTAGTATTAATAAATTTATAAGATTTTGCAGGCAAAACCCTGAGTTTTCGAAAAGTAACAATTCGAAACTAATTTTTGGCGTTTTGTCAACTTTTTTTTTTTTTTTTAAGGCGAACCACAAAGTTTCGACTGTGGCAAAATCCATCAAAACCTTACGTTAAGTTTCTTATCGTTTATATTTATTTATAAACAAAGGAAGGTAGGCATAATTTTTTTTGAATTAGAAAAGAATGATTTAATAAAATCAATTAGTCAAAGTATTACCTCAAACGTCAGCGTCTGTACGTCCTTCCGAATACCGTTTATTTTTTAGATTATTGCTTTATGCTTTAGCAATCAGCTTAAATGGACAGTGGTTTAATATACAGTACTTTTTCTTCTTTTAATTTTTTAGGCAGCTCCATATCGGGTAAGTAAATCAATTACCCAGCCAAATGCAGCCCGCTTGATCGTGGATTCTTGAAAATGATTTTAGACGAATCCATTTATCATTTAATTTATTTTAACAAAAATTAAATTCAGGAATTCGCCGATAGGAAAGGTATTGCTTTGTTTGGCTTGGGTTATCTACAAATAATCCCAGTTAAATTAATTAGCATAAAAAAGTTTAAATTTTTATAGTCGATTATCTTATTAATAAAGCAAGCAATTAGGCCGTCAAAAATTTCTCATTTTATGTGTAACATCAGTCAAAAAATCTAAAATTAGATTTTCAACATAAAATTTGGAAATGATCGACATTATTAATTCGTGATTAGCATGGCAGACATTTGTATGATTGGTCGATTTTTATGTCGATCATTTCCTAATTGTTATTGAAATGATTAATTTT